ATTTTGGAATTTTATACCATTTTGGACTCTTAAGGATCAGTGCTATCGATTGGCATCAAAAAGGTGCAAATCAAAATTTTGACCCAAGTCGTCAAAACGCTTTGAAACCACATATTCCAACGTTATATGTCGACATAATATCGCCAAGATATATGTATATATTGGATATATGTCGCTTTGAAACGACATATCTCCAAAGTTATATGTCGACATAATATCGCCAAGATCAGCCTCGTTTGTAAAGTACACCTTTTTTGCTGATTTTTTGTAATATCTCGGCCAAAAATGGTCCGATTTTGGAATTTTATACCATTTTGGACTCTTGAGGATCAGTGCTATCGATTGGCATTAAAAAGGTGCAAATCAAAATTTTGACCCAAATCGTCAAAACGCTTTGAAACGACATATTCCAACGTTATATGTCGACATAATATCGCCAAGATCAGCCTCGGTTGGATATATGTCGCTTTGAAACGACATATCTCCAACGTTATATGTCGACATAATATCAGTCTCGTTTGTAAAGTACACCTTTTTTGCTGATTTTTTGTAATATCTCGGCCAAAAATTGTCCGATATTAGAATTTTATACCATTTTGGACTCTTGAGGATCAGTTGTTGTTGACCAAAAACCGAATCGGTTGTAAAGTACACCTTTTTTGCTGATTTTTTGTAATATCTCGGCCAAAAATTGTCCGATTTTGGAATTTTATACCATTTTGGACTCTTAAGGATCAGTGCTATCGATTGGCATCAAAAAGGTGCAAATCAAAATTTTCACCCAAATCGTTAAAATGGCAAGGGGTTACATCACGTTTTTTTTTTTTCAAAATTGGGGTCGGTTCGAAAATTGAAACTTTTTTCATGATTTTTTTTGAATATCTCGGGTAAATATTGTCTGATTTTTAAATGTTATACCTTTTTTAATTCGTACGGATCCCTACTATGAAATGGCATTCAAAGAAACTACAAATCGGTCGGTTCAAAAAAGTTGTTGACCAAAAACCGAATCGGTGTAAAGTACACCTTTTTTGCTGATTTTTTGTAATATCTCGGCCAAAAATTGTCCGATTTTGGAATTTTATACCATTTTGGAATCTTGAGGATCAGTGCTATCGATTGGCATCAAAAAGGTGCAAATCAAAATTTTGACCCAAATCGTCAAAACGCTTTGAAACGACATATTCCAACGTTATATGTCGACATAATATCGCCAAGATCAGCCTCGGTTGGATATATGTCGCTTTGAAACGACATATCTCCAACGTTATTTGTCGACATAATATCGCCAAGATCAGCCTCGGTTGGATATATGTCGCTTTGAAACGACATATCTCCAACGTTATATGTCGACATAATATCAGTCTCGTTTGTAAAGTACACCTTTTTTGCTGATTTTTTGTAATATCTCGGCCAAAAATTGTCCGATTTTGGAATTTTATACCATTTTGGAATCTTGAGGATCAGTGCTATCGATTGGCATCAAAAAGGTGCAAATCAAAATTTTGACCCAAATCGTCAAAACGCTTTGAAACGACATATTCCAACGTTATATGTCGACATAATATCGCCAAGATCAGCCTCGGTTGGATATATGTCGCTTTGAAACGACATATCTCCAACGTTATATGTCGACATAATATCAGTCTCGTTTGTAAAGTACACCTTTTTTGCTGATTTTTTGTAATATCTCGGCCAAAAATTGTCCGATTTTGGAATTTTATACCATTTTGGACTCTTGAGGATCAGTACTATCGATTGGCATCAAAGAGGTGCAAATCAAAATTTTGAACCAAATCGTCAAAATGGCAAGGGGTTACATCACGTTTTTTTTTAAAACTGGGGTCGGTTCGAAAATTGAAACTTTTTTCATGATTTTTTTTGAATATCTCGGGTAAATATTGTCTGATTTTTAAATGTTATACCTTTTTTAATTCGTACGGATCCCTACTATGAAATGGCATTCAAAGAAACTACAAATCGGTCGGTTCAAAAAAGTTGTTGACCAAAAACCGAATCGGTTGTAAGGTACATTTAACTACAGTTTTGTTCAGCTAATTATGCCTTGCATGAACTGTTCAAGGACCTCTATATTGATTTTAACAGGCATAATAGAGTATTTTGCTAGGAGTCCTCTTTTCTCTCATAATATTTATATAATGCTTGATTTTTCTCTTTTAAAAATCTACTGAGTATATAAAAGTCTAAACGCGATTGAAGAAGTTAACACTTAAAAAGGTATGCCTTTTTGAACCGGAAAGCTTCATTAACAACTTTTCTCAAAATTAAGCATATGCTTCTTCGACAGATCTTCGAAATAAGTGCGCATTTGCGTTATGTTTTCTCCTCTGAGCGAAATGTGCGTAAGTTATACATAGAAATAAATATCGATTGGGTGCAATTAATATTATTTTTAAACTTTATTTCCTTATTTCAGCCGTATCTAATTGATTAAGAGAAAGACGACTTTTATATTTTTTATTAACTTTGTATGTATATTTAAATATATTATTTTTTTTCCATTACTATTTATTTAATGTTTCGCTGCTTAGAGTAATAGAAAAAGTAGTAGAAATAGCAGTAATGTAGTGTAGTAGTAGTAGATACAACGTTACAATTTAAATATTTATATGTATTTATGTATGTACGTATGCATGTAGGTATGCAGGTAAGTTAAGACTATAAATAAATGTAATATTTGTGAAATGCGTTGAGCTGGAGTAGCTAGACCCAGTGCATGAGCAACTGTTGCTGTTCATAAGGATTTTGGCACATATGTGTGTACGTTTTCATCTATGTGTGTGTGTGTGTGTGTGTAGAGTGATAGTATGTGTGTTCTATGGTAGGTATTGCATAGATTTGTTCGATTTCTACATTAACAATAACAAATTACTAAAATTAAGACCAAAGCGCTAAGATTCGTCTGGATATTGCAGAGCCAACACATCCACGACCGTTGCTGCTGGCGCTGGGGCTGCGGCTGGGCGAACGCGATCGCAACTGAGGTTATTAGTTTTTTGTTTTCGTATGCTGCAGCGCGTTCAGCTCGTCCTTGAGCCACGTCTGCCAGTTCTCCTGCGAGGGGCGAAACAGAGTTTGTATGCCAAAAAATGGCCAATGTTGTTACCAAAAACAAAGCGACTTGTATTTTCAGCTCTAAATTCCAACACCAAGCGAAGCCAAGCCAGAGCGTGTAATACGTACGATATGTAGCTACGAGTGTACAAATGTAGGTGTGCTTGTGGGAAAGGGGATGTGAGGTGGGGTTTTGTGTACGTATGCTAACAGAATCTACTATAGTTAGCCGTTGGGTGTGGCAGCCACTTTGCATCGGTTAGCGCTAATTGCATGTGTCAACAGAGAGCGAAAAGGAGCCAAGTTTGCTGCGGAAATCGGAAATGCTTAACTAGTAGCTTGTGTGTGTCTTTGTGTGTGTGTCTGTGTGTGTGTGCCGGTGCTTACGGGTGTATTTATGCACGCGCGCGCGTTTATGTATGTGTATGTGTCTATGTGTGTGTGTGTGTGTGTGTGTTGGGAACCTATTTGCTTTGGTTGCGCTTCAGTGTCTGAGCTTCTGTTTGCCCTTTGACGTTTTGGGCTTGGCTGTATCCGTTTTAGTCATTGTTATGCAAATGTTCCTGATATTCATCATATTCGTTTTCATTATCCTCCTGCTGCTCGTCCTCCTCGTCATCCTCCTGCTCATAATCGCTGGCATTGCTCTCTGGTTGTGTTACATCCGGCAAATAATCCTTGTGCATGGGCGTTGAAATGATGGGCTCCTGTGTAGTTGTGTTTGCATATGTTCGTGCGTCGGTGCGGCCACGTGTGTGTGTGTGTGGTTGTGTGTGTGTGTGTGTGTGTGTGTTTGGATATTAGTGTGCAAAAGCAAAAGTTAGTTAACCAAGTTAGTCAACAGTAACAACAACAACAAGAAGAGGAGATACATAGTAAGAGTTGGTAGCGGCGCATGCAAAGTTCCACGTTTTAGTTTAGCCAATTAGAAAGTGAAATATATTTTAGCTTGTTGAAACGCATGCTAACCTTTGGAGGCCGCCAGCCGCAGCCCGGCAGCGGCAGCCCGTCAACGCCCAGCGGACAGGGCGCGTCCAGTCCGGGCACGCCCTGTTCGCCCTTGTCGCCGCGATCTCCTTTGCGTCCCCGTTTACCTGGCGGACCAGCATCGCCGCGTGAGCCCTGCTCGCCACGCGGACCCTCCTGGCCGGGAATGCCGTCGGTGCCCTTTAAAGGCGCACGGCGTCGTGTGTGTCATTGTACGTGTGTGCGTGTAAGTGTGTGAGTGTGTGGGTCAAAAAGGTTGATACGTGTGTAGGAGGTTTTGCATAGATTGAAAACAGTGTACGACGCCAACAAAGAAAGAGAATTGCATGCAGATAAGAAAAAAAAACAATAAAAAAGAAGAAACACAAATTATTCAAATTAGCAACCAGATAAGGTAGATAAACACATATGTGTGTGTGGCTGTGTGTGGGAGTGTGAGTGTGTGCGTGTATAATTACATATATACTACATACAATCAGATAGATCTGTGTGTGAGTGTGTATCTGTGCTTACCGGCAGACCCGGATCGCCGCGCTCGCCCTTGTGTCCCGTTTCGCCCTGTGCACCCTGTTTGGAAACAAAGATTTCAGTTAGACAAAGGCGAAAAATCGAAGCTGACATTTTTCTGAAGCTGGTTAATGTACCTTCATGCCATCCAAACCAGGCGGACCCTGTAGCGATTGAGAATGAGAGAGGAAAAGCGTCAGCAAATGCTTGAGGAAAAAAGAAAACTGTCGCGCCCGAGCGGCTCAAACGAACGGCCTCCACCCAATTTTATAGGGCTAAGCTTTTGTTCTCTTTTTTATGGTTAATTAAAGTTGAATATAGAAATTAGTAAGCTCTCCTTCGTTTTGTGTTTTTTTTTTTTAGTAAAAAACCATCACTTTATTGAAAATGCATAATTAATATTTAAATGATATATTGTTTCATTAGCCGCTTTACAATTTGTTGCTGCCTGTCAAGGAATGCCTTTCTGATTAGCGTAATTTTCATAATTTTTATATTGTGGCAATTGGCAGAATTCATACGCACATTAGGCATGCTTGCATACATACATACATGCATAAATGTATGGATGTATAGACATAAATACACACAAATACATATACATACATATTTGTTATTTAATTGGAAACACTTGGTTTAGTACGCAATTAACAAATGTACACTTACAATTACCATTAGCAGCTTATGAAGTTAATGACCAAATTGAATTGAAATATATGTATAAATTTATAATTTAAATTTAATGCTAATATTTAGTTAAATGTAATGCACATTGCCGATAGAACATATCTCCAGCGACCGCACAATTCATTATTCTAACCTATGGATCTCGGTTACAGCTTGAGTTAGTTAGTTAGACAAAAGTTCAAGGGTTTAAGTTAAGTAGAGTAAAATGTGAAAATTGAAGACAGGCGCAGTTAGCACTGTGGATAAGTTAGCTGTTCAATAAATGTAAAATATCGTATCTTATTGTTAGTTGACATTTTATGTACACCATGATGTTGGCTAATCTAGTGGTTAAAATGAAAATTGACATGCGAAATTGTTTGGATTTTTTGTTTTTGTTTTTTCGGGAAACTTTTTCAGCTTTGGGAGCGACACATTTAATTGAAAACAAATTGACATACATATGCATTGTAATTTGCCAACACGTATTTGCATTAAGTCCTTTGAGGCTTTAGTTTTATTTGAAATTTTATGCAAATGCAGAGCAAGTGTTATCGTAGTTGAACATATAATAGATTTCGTTTGCATTTAGCATTTGTTATTTATATTTTTTTCCACCTGACTGTGTGTTCTTTTTTTCATTTCTTTTTAAATCGATATAGCATGCTCGTATTAGTAGTCATAAATTGTAAATTGATTTTTTTTAGGTGCATTCTGTGCACTCGCTCAGATCGAAAGGTAGATTTGCATTTATTTATTTGAGATGTTCGATGAAACCAATAGGATACATATTAGAATTATGTATTTATTGTTAATAATATCCTCAATTGAAGAGAGCTTATTTGAATGCATTGTTAGTAAACTTGTTTAATTGGGGTTGGGGTGTACGTGTTTGTGGGCTAATTATGGGAGATTGAGGGTCATTCTGAGGGCGCTTTGTTGTTCACCGGCCAGCCGATGCTATTGCAAACGTTTTGCTGTGTTCTCATATTCTCATATTTAATGGCTTCCCACACTCCAAATATGCTGTGTATACTAGTAGGTATATTTAAACTTTAGCCTAACTAATTTTTGTTTTCAACGCGTTTCGTATTGAAGTTACATATAACACTGAAAAATATGCACAATTGGAAGATAGCTCTTTGTTGTTATCGCATGATATTACAATTACAATTTACGATTATTTTGAAAATTGTTATCATTGTGTATTTCTATGTATTAAATATGTATATTAAACAGTTTCTTTGTTGTAGACATATAACACATTCAAACTCGATAATATATACGCAAACATTGAGACAAATTTTAAAGATATATATATATACTTTTTTTCTTTACAGTTTTCACTTAGGTTATTTAAAATTGAGAATGTTTAGATACTATGTATTTGCTGTTTACCATTTGTCAAGCACTGAAGCTTTGGCATTCCTATAAATTGAATATACGACAAAGCCTCTGGACGGCACCTAAGATAATGCAACAATGCGGCAACAGCAGCAGCAGTGGCAGCAACAGCTACAGGCAGCACTTAAAAGATTTTGACTTTGCGGCTGGCAATGAAATTTATGGGTCAATCAAGAAAGTAACTAGCAAATTGAGTTACTCTGTTGCATCTGCAAGAATGCCTTAGCCAAAATGCAGGCACAAGATTATTTTGCTGCAACTTTCAAGTGCCACGGTGCGTATGATTTATGCAACAGCTGCTGCGGCTGCTGCTGCATTGGCTTTTGCTTGAATGTACTCTCGGATAGGTGTACAGCGCAGTTTCAAATGAAATGCAATTACACTATTTGCATTGCATGTTCGTTGGCATGTTTGAGAACTTGTTTGTTTGCTTATTTGTATATTTGCCCCCTTCTCATGTATATATATATATACTCAATTATTTGGTTGATTCAATTGATAGTTGTAAATATGTTCGATCGCGTGTTTCTATAGAAATAATTATGTTTGTTTTTTTGTTTGCATTTGTGCTTGCCTGTATACATAAATACTCATTTGGCTCTGCTTAACACATATGTCCGCAGCTCTGTTATGTTTCATTTGATATGAATGCACTTTCATACACATATTTGTATTATATTGTATATTGTTTTTCGTATTTTGTATTCTGTGCCTTGCGTCCTGCAACTTGCATGCAATTGGGATATTCTCAATTATACATATATTGATATAGGGTATTTTTAAGTGGCATGCGGCTGATATCGTATCGTATTGGGTTTCGCATGTATTTATGTACATGGGCGCTTGTATGTACAATTTGATATACATACATTTACACAGATATATATAAATATATATATATTTATATATGACTATATAGATAGACAATAAAACTGAGCGAGAGCCAGCTTGGTAACATTTCCTATGCATATTTAGTTTGCTTATATCTTTTTTCCACAAAGCTCAGCGTATTTTTTTTTATTTTGCTTCCTGTGCGTAGTGTGTGTGTGCTTGTATGTGTGGGTGAGTATGTGTGTGTGTTTGATAAGTTTGTGTCGCATTTTATTCGCTTTTCGGAGCAATGTGTTTGTTATTTATTATTAGACTGCACTTTTGAGTAAGTTGTATTAGTAGTCGCCCCACACCTGTTCCAGGTAAAAGAGAGAGAGAGAAAGAGAGACACGAGAACATATAAGAGGGTAGAATTGGTTTAGTCACATCGACGCTTATAACGATTTACCAAAGCAAGATGATCAACAACAATTTTGTAGCAACATAAAAGCCAAACATTTAAATTTTAGTAAGCCAATAAAAAGAATAATAAAAGCAAAAGGTGTGTTCAACTGTGACTCACCGGAATGCCAGCTTTGCCAGCCGGACCAGAAGGTCCCGACTCGCCACGCATGCCCATTGGACCCTAAAATGATATCATGAGTCCTTGAAACTCTTGCGCAATCTAATATGGAATCAGAATTACTTACCGGCAAGCCCATGGGTCCTTGATCGCCCTTGTGCCCCTTTTCGCCCTACGGAGAAGATAACATTATATAGCTGAGCACACCCGGCACCAAGGATTTTATTGACTTACAGGATCACCCTTACGTCCATCCAAGCCCCGATCGCCTTGGGCACCAGTGTGTCCAGGTGGGCCCATTGGACCAGGTGGTCCGGGTGGTCCGTAAAGCTATTGTAAAGGAAACAGCATATTGATTACGGGCTTTTGAATTGGACAAGTAAGCTACTCACATATTCAATGGCGGGCATGTGTGGTGCATCAGCCATGCCGTCGTCCTGCCGGCGTCGCATCTTACGGTACTGTAATTTGATCGATTCATGTATATCGATTAGAGTTATCTAAAACTTGAACTCACCGAATCACCACGGTCGCCCTTGTCACCCTTGACTCCGGGATAGCCTGGTGGTCCTGGCAGGCCCGGAGGTCCCATTAGACCAGGTGGGCCAATATCGCCGCGATCGCCCTTTTCACCGGGCGGCCCTTGATAGCCCGGCAGACCAGGCGGCCCTTCAATGCCCGGCTCACCAGGCAGACCATCCAGGCCACGTGGACCCAGTGAGCCCGGCTCTCCGGGCTCGCCCGGCTCACCCTTGCTGCCATCGCGTCCGTCTCGTCCGTCCTTGCCGGAAAGGCCTGGTGGTCCGGGCGGGCCACGCAACAGTGTGACGGGCGGGTCGTCATAATCCTCCTCCAGCTTGGTGCCGCCAGGTCCAAATAGCTGCTCAAAGCAAAGGCGAATGCGTTTTGTAAATGGGGGATGGAAGAGAGATATGTTGGCAAATTTAGTGGGAAGATTAATTTATGCCACGTGGCGCCGCCCGAGGCGTTGCACGCGCTCGTTCCACACACACACGTACACACGCTTTGATGGCGCAACAAATGCGTCGCGTTATTCGCTGCCATGAAGAAAAAACTTGGACTCCCCCCACCCATCTTTATCTCTGGATGGACGGAGTGGGAGGTGATGGGGGTGGTGGTGGTGCTGGTTTTGGGGGCGAGCTTTTGGTGGCTGCTGCGCCGCAGTGAAAGTCTATTGTGTGCGCGTCGAAATTGTGTTAAGTGCAAGTCGGAGCCGAGCCGAAACTCGCTCCGCAGCCACAAACTTAGACAATGCTGGCATAGAAAAACCTTTAAAATCTGCTGGGCTGGGCATGGATCGGAGGTGTGGGAGTGCGAGTCGAAAATAAAGTCAAGCAGCGACGTGCCTCAAGTGCGGTGCGCGAGTTTGTGCTTTGTGTGTCTTGTGCATTGCTCTTTGGCTTTTGCTTGCTCGAGAGCTAGAGTGTAGGTGTGTGTGTGCTTGTGGCTGTATGTGTGCGTGTGTGTGCATGGTGAGTTCCAAAGTGAAAGATAATGAATTGGTTTTGTGCGCTTCTCAAGCATTTCGAGGCATATTTTCAGGGAGCCAACGGCATAACCAACAAAAACCGCGTGCGCATCGATATAGCCACAACACACACACAATCACACCCACTTACTAACACACACACACACATATACAGCCAGTTGCATTTAGGTCGCATTCGGTATCGTGAATTTACCAAAAGTACTTGGGCGTTAAGGTTGCCGCTGGCATATTCAGGCTGCAAGACGCCCAGTGGCAGCAACAAAGTCTATTACGAAAATGTTAAGGCCCATAAAAGCAACAATACAAACAGCTAAAGAAAATAGAAAACGTTTACACACGTGGCTCAAACGCAAAGGGAGACGCTTAGAAAAAGTATTCAATGCCGTTTGAGAGCCGCAAGGAAAAGTAGCGCAGGAAGGCGCAAATCGAGCAACAATGGAGCTAAAAGTAAAGTTTCCAATATGTATACAATTTTGTGTACATACACATACGTATATACTGTGCAACAAGGAGCTTTAGTATCGTATCTGAGATAACCTTTTCGTTTTCTATTTATTTTTTGCTGGCGCATGTAAAACAATTAAGTTTTATTGTATTTCTTGTTGCACATGCTTGACGGTTTGTTGTCTAAGGAAGTGGCGTACTTACAGATATTAAAGTACAACAAAAACAATAATAACACTGAGATAGCATAACAATGCAATACGCTCTACACACACATGCACGCATATGGCTGTGCCCGGGCATATGCTTAAGTGCTGCTACGAAATGGCGGCCGTTTGCTCGCTTAAATGCACAAAAACAAAAGATGTACCAGAGACAAAAAAACAGAGAAAAACAATAACAACAGCAAGAACAGCATTAAGAACTTAAACGTAAGTTGTAACCATGCTGGGCGTAAGGAGGAGTGACAGGAGCAACGACCATGACGCCGTCGTGGCTTACCGCAAATGCAGTTGCCAGCGCACGAGTAACTTTTGCCCCTTTATGCATACTCATATTATGCGCAGCTCATCTGCATTCAATGTGTGTGTGTATGTACGTGTACGTGTTCGTGTGTGTTTGCGTGTGTGTGTGTGTGTGTGTGTGTTTGTGTGTCGTGCTCAGCTGGCACTTTGTTGCAAGTTTTACAGTTTTGCACAATGTAGCCAAGACCCATGGGCTCGGGCGTGGGTCGGTTTTCTGCCTTGGGCTCTACTGAATTTCCGCTTCCGCTTTCCGTGCGCGCCATTGTTGGGCTTTGGTGATTAGTCGTCCATTTGTTGAGCAATTAAAGCGCTTGAAATTAAAGCGCGCGCTTAACATTTGCTCTGCGTGCGGCATTCGCGATAATTAAGTCACATTCAGCGGGCTTAAAGGGCCCACATCTCGCATCAGTTAGTCAGTTAGTCAGTCAGTCAGTTAGTCCGTTCGTCAGTCGGTCGAACAACAACTGCCAGCGACAAATCAACGACGGCAAACAAAAAGGTACGGGCCAGGGGTTTAAAGGCTTTAAGGATCCGCCGCCAACGGAAGTTGCGATAAATAACATAAATAAAAGATACGGAGCCAAGTGAATTTGGGCAAATGTTTGTTAGCCATTCGCAAGGACGATTCTGTTGGCGCAGCTGCCTAACTACGATAAAAACTTCTTGTCTGCCTTTTCGGCAGCCTCTTTCGCTCTGTGTGGGCGTGCGTCGATCTCCGTGTGTATGTGCGTGCGTGTGTGTGTGTGTGAAATCCATTAGAATGTATCAATATTTGTGCGCCTCGAGTTGATTTTAATTTCCAACGTATTCAAGCAAACGCACTCACACACACACACACACACACACACACACAACTACACATGTGAGATGCTTGAATGCTGTGAGGCATTTTCTTCAATTATGCGCAAATTTGTTTTATTTGCACAAACGCTTTTCAATTTAAGCTTTGACTCGCTGGCAACTTGCAGCATACTTTCAGGCGCCCTCGATAAGGAAAGCACGAAAATGTTGTAATTGCAAAGTAATTGCCCAGCTATCAAGGGGCGTGCCCAACGCCGTTCGCTTGGACTTCGGTCAAGTGGCCCGCGCGGACATTGGAGTATTTTCAAGGTGCGCTTAAATTCCATTGAAATTGCGTAGTCCAAATCAGACAAATGGCCGCACGTAAATGCGTTAAATTGAAAATCATTTTGATCTCGGCGCGACCTTTTTTCCTGCGACACTACTTGCCGCAGCGAGGCGTGGCCAACGCCCACGTTCGTGCTTAAGTGCAGCCATATGCCGCAATACCGCGTTGTCCATGGCGTCTGTCTTTCTGTGTGCGTGTGCGCATATTTTTTCCATTTTTTTTTTGTTTTTGTTGTTTTTATAGCAGTTTCCTTTTGAAATTTCATATTTTTCATAGCCACAGCAACCGCAGTTGAAGCAACAACAGCAACAAGCACAGCGAACAGCTGAACACGGCCCGAGGTGAAAGTTTTGTAGCCCGTTTCCGGCTCACACTCACTCACACACACACACACACAATTCCTGCTTCGCCCCTCGTCCGAAGTTGGCGCAGCCATGTAATACGTTCCCCAGTTTTCGTTTGCCACAAAAGTTTACAAGAATCACACAATGCCAGGGAAGTTCTTGGCAAGTACGCGGCCACATTAAATGCGTAATATGTTTTGCTACGTATCGACATCGTTGACAATGGAGGGAAATAAAAATAATATAGTGAAATAATCCATTCAGCTTAGAGGACCTTCATTCATTCTCTAAGAGCGAATCCGAAATGTCGACAGTAAATCCACTATTTAATTACAGCTGCCTGTTTTTAATAATAATACTTAAAATAAACAAGCTCAAAAATATCTGATTTAATCTATATATGAGTATATTTCAAAAGTAGTTTTTACCAAAAGTGTAAGCCAAACGTAACTTATATGAAAACTCTTCTGATATTGTCAAAATTGCTTAAAACATAAATTTAAGGATCATGTTGTCTTAAAACTCCAAATAGAAAATTTGTTTTTAAATGTTGGCAGAATAAGCTCCACACAACAATCAATTTCACATTTCGATATCAACACTTTTTGCTTATATTATAATCAATTTTGCCCATGGTAACATGTATGCAGCCGCAAGGAAAAAGTCAAGACGCGTTGTAAAAATTTCGCGTGATTTCATTTTGACGCTAACATTGTTGCTGATGTTGTTGTCGTCCTGATATTGTAATATGCCGGAAATTTGGCAGTATTTAGGGAAATCGTTGCTAAAGATTTCGCCATTCGCTGCCGCAGACACAGTTACAGCCACAACAATGCCAGCTGCGGTAGTGGGTGTGGTGGGCTGGGGTGGATTGGCAGCAGCATAACCCAACTTGCAAACGTAACATTATGCCTGTTTGGGAGCTGCAGCCCCAATGGAAACCAATGGAGCCCAATGAAACCCAATGGTACCCAGTCCCACATCAATGGCAAACGCGTGCCTATAAATTTCCAGGGGTTTGTGTGTGTGTGTGTGGGCATACCCTTATGGGCGGGGCCATTCATTTGGTGTCGCTAACTTGAGATTTTTATTTGCCAGCATACGCAAACGTTGCCTGCGCTGGTGGCACCGCCTGGATTTCTTTATTCAATCGTTTTTGTTGCTCCCACAGCGCCCTCATCATCAGTTGCCATAAAATAAAAGTTACGCACACCCCAGGGACAACATTACAGGTCACACACACACGCACACACACATGCAAGTCCTGCGGCATGGTGGCAACCATGGCATGCTTGACCGATTTTGTTAGGTTTCATTTTCAATACGGAGGGACATATGAGCACTGACCACAAATAATTTCCATAGCGGCAAAATGGAAAATTGCGAATAAAAAATAGAAGAGTAGGGAAATTTGCATGCTGCGCAGTTTTCAATGAACAATGACGTCACACACACACACACGCACACACGCTCGATAAGCAACACAGCAGTTGACACAGCATTGCAGAGGCTTATCAAATCGAGCTATAAACCGAACCCAACCCAACCCAACTCAAGCCAACTCAACTCAAGTCAAGTCAAGTCGAGCAGAAGCAATGAAAATTCAGCCTGAGATTTTCCTGGGCTGGAGGAAAGTGCTAAGCTTATTGCGTCGTTTAGGCAACACCCGAAACGAATTGCCGGCGAAAAGACGCCAACGAATGTGAACCCTTTGAGTGACAGACATGAAGATATAAGCACACATCCAAACAAAGGCGCACACTCACACTCACACACACTAAACGGAGCAGTCGTTTAGACTTTTCACGTAAGCAACTTTAAGGCTTTCATTTGCAAGGAAAACTGTGGCTGGCTTCAAAGTGGCGCAAAGTGTCGCCTTCGCGTCGTCAGTGGTGCGCCACATGCGAGTGACTTTCTGGCCAGCAGCTTTCCGGTCGGGACATGGCTCATGTTACCAGGCAACTGGGCGGGCTTTGGGCGGTGTTGTATAACGTGTAACGAATCTGCAAGTTTTTTTTTCTCTCTGTTTGTTTTTGTTTTTGCGGCAACGGCAACGGCAATTTTTATGACTCTATTTACCCAAGGCACACACGAGGCACACAAGAAACTTGCCCATTGCTGCTGATAAGAAATGTGAGCTGGAAGCTAGAAACTGGGAACTGGGAACTGGGAGCTGAGAGCGCAGCCTGGGAAATTTATGCAGATTTTGAGGCCCAAAAGACAACACACACGCTGATGTGACATGGGCATGGGGTGAGTAAAGTGACTATTGTAAAATATATTAACATAAATTTGACATAAATGCTTCAAGAACAGTTTTTACCGCAACGCTTCAGGCGGAGCTTGTCTAGGAAATATGTGTGTATGTGTGTGTGTGTGAAATATTGTTTCAACTTTATTAAAATAAAAAAAGAAATGGCAAAGCAAATCTAAAACAGCTAAAGCCAACGCAACGTCAACGCGCATAATAAATGGCAAATAACTCTGCAAATGCCGCCCGTTGCTCCGGTTGGACAGTCATTGGATATTCATCATACGCCCCGTTGCCCCGCTCTCCCCTTGCTCGCAGCAACGAAACTCGTCAAAAAGTTTGAAATTAATTTAAATTTTTAATATGTTGCCTGATCGTAAATTGTATATTAGATGCGGCAACGCTCGCAAAATGCGTCGGCGCTAAAATATGCAAACGAAATATTGCGTGCGACAAATGAAAGGACAATTTATTTTGAATTGTCTCTCTTCAATTGGCTGCGCATATATATTACATATATACATATATATTTATAAAGGACATTTATTAGTGAACTTTGAGTGCAATGGAGAATCGGCGTCAAAATGAAAAATACAATCAATTAACCTTTAATGCTATACACTCAAAGGAAAACATTTCTCACCTACTTTCAATAATGCTTGTCTAAATATATCTCTGCGACTGCGAAATTTTCTTGAATATAAGTCAAGTGACATTATTGCCGCATTTGTTTTAAATTTCTACATCAATAATTCATATACAGATCTTAACTTAATATTAATACCCATACATATGTATGTCGCCTGACACATATGTTCAGTTTTGCGTAGAGCATTATTCCATCACATCGCAACTCATTTAGGTCCACGTCGCCTCCTCCACTACACCCCGTCCAAATTCGCCCCCTTCAAATGACGCAATATTCTCATATGAACATTTTATTCTGACGAGGCGACGAGAATAACATGTCAAATTTATAATGCCTACAATTGCGTTTTTTATGGACGTAGCCGACGCGACGACAGCAGCAAGAAATCGGCAACAGTGAGCCGAAGATTTAATACCCTTTCTGATATATTAAGCTATTTGTTTCTTTTGCAGCGTTCGTAAACTTAATTTTCCTCATTTGACGAAATCAAAAAGTATTTGCTGAATTCAAGCAGTTGCATTTGTCATGACGATATTTATATATAATCTGCAAGAGCATCGACGCAAGCGAGTCAAAATTGTTGCTGCTTCGGCTATAATCATATTGCCAGATGCAAAACCAACGCCTTAGGCGTCTTAGCAGGGGGCGTGGCTTTATGGCGCTAGACGGATAAATGTTTTCCAAAACGGAACACGAGCAATTTGAATTTTTTTACGACTTGCTGAACTAATTACACGAATTTTTCATGCGAGCAACGCGCTAAATTTTGAACAACTTTCATAGAATTTTCTTATTTGCTGCTAAGCGAATGTGTTGCAAGTTTGAATGTGCCGCATGAGGCACCATAAGCATAATTTTTCAGCATTTCGCATAATCATCAGATACATTGATAATGTATATCATTCACATTTCCATTCATCCGAATGCCTTGGCTTTGGCTTGAAGGCTTTCCTCGGAAAACCAAAGCCGCTGATAGTCGAATTGAAAAATCGACGCCCCGCTGCCGTAGTTGCCGGGAGCCGTCACGTTTCGGCAGCTTCGGGAGCAGCCCGGCCTTCATCGAAGAGATGGCAATTGTTGCAAATAATTTTTTATGCTTAACATTGCCTCGGTGCGCCATGGCCTGGGCCTAAATCTGTGCGGGCAGAGAAAGGCAGAGATGTTGCGCGCGCGAACTTTTGTTTGTTGCCAAAAGTTTTGTTTGTTTGCCAAAGGCAGCCAGGGAGCTGCGACTGCCTGCCGTTTCTTATGACTTTCATTTGTTTTGACATCACGTCGCTGCAGCGCCTCAGCAATACATAGAGAGAGAGGTTGATCAAGAGAGGGAGAGGCAGGGGCAGAACAATGTAATCGGCACATTCGAGCACCATGGCACGAGTGCGCATAGCATTGAAAATACTGTGGCAGGAGGCGCGGCATGCATTACCCGCAGCTGAAGCAAGCCGAGAGGTTAGCCAGTAAAGTATGCCAGCATACCTAACAAGTCAGCAGATACTGTGCTATGTATGTTGATATATCAGAGTGTCCGTATTAAGAGTTTGAATACTTAGGAATATGCAGAGAATTCTTTTATATACTTGAATAAGTCAGAGTATCTGAACTAAATAAGTATCTTCTACGTAGTAAGTTACATCAGTAACATTTATATATATTGTACATAGTTGAATTGTCAGCTCTAGCTTAGCTTTGCAAAGCATTGAGACAACTCTCGGCTAACTCAAAGAAAATCGACGCAGAAGTCATAAAAGCGAAGCTGCACGTTGCCAGTTGCCACTGCCGCTTAATGTTGTTCTTGGTGTTTCCTTCTGGCCGTATTGGAACTCCGTTTGGGTTTGAGCTTGCCGCTGTTTTGTTATTACGCCTTATTACAACAACAACAATATCAGCAACAGTAACAAAAATAACAGTAAACGCCAGAGTAATGCCCATGCCGCTGACGGGGCCAACAGCAGTTGGCCAAAGGCGTGTTATATGAATTTGCCACTTTTTGGCTTACTCTCTATGCGTGTGCGTGTGTATGTGTATGTGCGTGTGTTGAACAATAATCAGACTATTTTTACGAAAATTGGCAAAACGCGCAAATATTTGTGGAGTGGCCAAAGTAAAAGAAACAACTCCTATCGAAGCTCCAGCACATCTCCGTTTGCCACCGGCGCTTATGCATTTTTCATAACATACACAAACACGTTCTAGATACATATTCATACGGCCCCCTTCAAGGTACCCCACCATCAATCCGCCATGCGTGCGTTTATATACACAGGAATCTTTTGCAAAATATGAGAATCCGTAGCTGATTCCAGCGTGGTGTGCATCCATCAGCACGTCACGGGGCGGCAACAGCTGCCGACTGACTCACCAAGTGCCAATAAAAATGTTAAGTATCTTTGCACTGTTGACATTCCAGAGGAGACGCACATAACGTACGGCACAAATGCCTAGATAAATGTTGCTGATACTCCCTCTAAGCCAGAGGCATGCGGCACATAAATTAAACATCAGATTTAAGCGCCAAAACATTTTTGACAATTTCGATGAGGCGCCAACGTGTGTCGACATAGTTTTGCGCGCCGCGAGGCAGCCCTTACGCAAATGCCAGCAGTTTAAAGGGAATATTTATATTACGCGCGAGCTCCAATTTAGTGTGCGTATCTGGCAGATACTTTAAGACTTAATCAAGGGCATTACATCAAGGTCTTTCCATCGCTCTGGATGTGCCTCAGGTCTGTAGCTGTAATGAGTTTAGTTTGAGAGTTGAGCGCATCTCCTTGGGGCTACATGCTCATTACACAGTCAAAGGCACATACACATATTGCTCATAAATAGATTGATGTATGAACATACGTATGTACATAGTAAGCATGCAAAGTAGCGGACGCCAGGTGGCAGTGCCTGTGTGCCTGGCCATGCGAAAGGATGCGGATGCGCCCTAAATATATACAGGTTACGTAGCTCTCAGTTTGCACAAATATTTACAGATTAATTTAACGAGTATGTAAATTATTGTGTTACGCTTCTACGCATTTTTACAAAGATTTACACTTCAATTTACATATTAATACATTTTCTTCATTATTATTGTGCTGTTTTTTCATCATCTTTTAATTTTTCGAGCTCGCACTTAATTTGCAGCCGTCGCTGTTTTCTAATTAAAATTGAGTGCAAAGCGAGTTTTCGCATTGGTTATTCGGTTTGCCGTAACACTTACCCGCTTGCCCCGCTTTCCGCGTGGTCCTTTCTCGCCAGGCGGCCCGGCCGGTCCAATGGGTCCCACCTCGCCGCGTTCACCGCGGTCTCCGGGCGGACCTGTAAATTTAAATGTTTGGCATTTAAAGTGAATGATTTCAATAGCACAAAGTGTACAAATATATGCAAAAGCCAACTACACAAACGTACAATTACAGTTGGAGAAAAAGTCAAGATACTTCTGTTAAAGATGAATTCCAGAATTTAAATTTCTAGGATATTTTATATTTTAATGTAGTAATATCTAATGGTGTTTTTGGATAATTCTCTTAGTTTCTCTAGGCTGATTATTCACAAAAAATATAATTATATAAAAGCTATTGAATTCTAATTATTTTCTTGCTAATTCTTATACGTATAGCAGCTCGAGTTACTTTGCTTTGATTATGTACTATTTTTTGATATAATTTATTTTGACTTGATGTGATTTGTGAAAGGATGTGTGTTTCAGTTTAACAGAAGCCCTTTTTCTTAACACTTATGCTTAACATAACCTTTAACAGACAGACTTGCTTTTAACACTAATGTTTAACATCATCTTTAACAGACTGACTTTATGTTACCAGTAATGCTTAACATAATCGTTAACAGACTGTCTTCCTGTAACCACTAATGGATCCTTCTTGTTAACACTAAAGCTTAGCCTATTGCAGATTTGAATTTATATCCTTTAAATTTCATCCGGCCTAAAGTTGCGTACAACTTTTTTTTAGAGTGCACCGCTTATATTGACGCTGACACGCGATGCGTCAAGTGTGGTGCAAACAAGAGGCGGGGCTCAGTCGTAGCTTTGTAATTACACCCGTTATTATCGCCGCTCGATGGACTGTCACCGTTCATCTGTCAGTCAACAAGCGTTTGTCGGGTTTTCGGTCAGCAATTTGTTCAACTGGCGATGATGCTGGCAGCGATAAGCGGCAGTTGCTGCTCTTGATGGCTTTCGGGTTTAGTTTGAAATGCAAATTGTTTATTTGCCAAAATGAAATGCCTAAGGCCAACCGTGACCCAAAACCGCTCGTTGCATGCTAATGAAGCGTGCGGCTTTCAAGTAACTTGACCTATTTACCTCAGTTGCATTTTGCTGCTGCAACGTTTATAACTAAAAATTCTAGACATATTTGCAGAGTTATTCGATTTGTAGCTTGTATTATCTTGCATTCAAAATAGGTTTACGCCGTCAAATTAAGTTTCAGATGCTTTGGGCTGCTTCGAAATCTGTCAACATTAAACTAGCTTTGCTCCACTGTGGCACTGAAAAGCGTCGACAACGAGAGAACAACAACAACAGAAACAACAACATCGATGTGACGACCTGTTTAGTTAATATAATGAGAAATTGTTTTTCTGGCTGAGGCCATTAAATGCGACCATTTATACAAGGCACACAGACACACACACATACACACCCAGCCACAGACTGGGGGATAAATAGACGTAACACACACAGAGGCATACAGAATTCATATCATAGATAAATCCAATTGTGCGGCTTGTCAAAATATGCCTGTGTACGTGTATGTGCATTGTCCCAATGTGTGTGTGTGTGTTTGTGAAAAGATATAGAAAATTTATTAAGTTCGTAAAATTGCGTTTGGGGCGGACCCGGCTCGTTGAGTTGCCAGGACACACGCTCTCCTCTCGTCTCTTGGCCAGGGCGCATAAATTTGCCTGCCTACAGTCTGGCTGGCATTTGGTTTATGGGTCCTATGCCTTGGTCGTCCGTTGTTTATTTATTAAGTATTTTGCTGTTCCGCTTTGTTTTGGACTCCGAATCAGACTCAGACTCGGACTCGGGCTCGGTAAGTATTTATGGCGGCATAATTTACCGTTAAGCATTTTAGGCGACAATTTCAGCCACAATCAAAACTATTGCTAGGAGCCGACAACAAGTTGACCAGCGCCGCGGGGCCTGCAGTGGATTTATAGAGTCAGGATATTGGATTGTTGGTCCGTTTGCGTTTCCCTAGGCATCTATCATTTCTCTCTCTGTGCTTTGTTTGCTGTTTTTCTGTTTGTGGCTTTTCCAAAAAGGCAATGCAGATGAAGTGCAAATGATAAGTTTTAATTTCGTACACAAAGCAAGGGACAAATGCAAAGCAGAGCCAAGCAGAGCGTAGCTACCCGGATGAAATGCAATCAAAATATACACTCAAATGAAATTCAAATAAATCAGCAAATAAATTGAAATTTTTGGTATTACAGTTGGGACTGGACCAGCTGCTGTCGCTGCCATTGCGCCAGCATTTCCTGCTCTCTCCTGGAGACGCAAAATACAAATGACACATTAAATTGCCGAAACATATCCCAGGTCCAGCTATGGGCCTGCCCACACATAAAGCACAAGTCAGCTTAACTAATTACGACAACGATAAGATAAGCAGTTGACAGAGAGAGAATGAACCACAGACGTGGCGACCAGACGAAAGAATTCCAAATACAAATGACATTCAATTTATTCAAATCAAGCCCAAATGACTAAAGCCAGAAGCAGAACCAGACCCTGACGCAGACGCATGTCCCATGAGCTGGCGACTCGATTCTGGCGCTGATTTCAGAAAATAAATTGCAATTTCATGTCCATCAACGCACAGCCCAGCACAGTCATAGAACTGTCCCAGGCCTGGGAGTAGGGACCATGGACAAGGGTCGGGCTTTGCATTGGGCGCTTGGTAACTGTCGACAACTGAGGCTATCGCAGCAGCAGATCTTGTTTTAAACTAGCAAGAAATCTAAAAACAATGCTCACAACATTAACGCAACTGCAACTTACAACTGCGACAACATCCAAAACAACAACAACAAAACCAACTACAAATATAGCGCCTTGATGCTCTGATAAGGTAAGTGGGAGGCTGCTCGATGCGGGTCGTGTAGAGCGCTTAATTGATACTTCTTGTTGATCACATGCATTAGGGGTATTCTGAAGATAGAAAATTTCGACTAATGTATTCCGGCTGTGTGTAGTGCTGTCAATCCAAGTTTAGTATTAATATCTAAGTGCAATAGAATTCAGGGTTGATCTTTTGTGACTATAATCAAAAACTGACAACGTCTCTGTCGGGCACAATGCTCGAGGCAATGAGTCGAAAGGTGTTTGAATAATAATAACCAATATTAAATCTACTTTTATCTTCAATAACAATGTGTTTCTACGAATACTTCCTCTCCAAAGCAGTCTATTAACATGCAAGGGTATGTTTAATAATCATTCAGAATCGTTTTGGGCAATATTTACAAAGAAACAATAGATTTGGTTTTTATTATGCTCCAGCATTATTGGCCTTTTAAAGGATAACATAGCCGATAGTTTTTATTTGCTTAAATAAAAATGAATATATATTCTTTATAGCTTGTTACTATGCTGACATTTACGACTCATCTCTTAGCTTCTTAGGAATGTCTATGCCGTACACCCTAAGGCTTGAGTATTGTTTATTTATTGCGCACACTGAGGACCCCTAATAAAACAATTGGTCAGAGAGGGTCCGACTCGGGGCAAAGGTAATTACATAGTCTTACATATAGTTTTACCACATGCTGCATTCCGCATGCTTCATTCTAGACATGCGCTGCGTCTGGAACGTGGAACGAGTAGCTATACTAATGAGCCGCTAAAAGCAACATAAATGACATAAAGTTGCGTTTTTATGACTGCGGTAAGTGTTTCAAGCTGTCCGGGTATACAAATTTTTATGACAAACGCCGGATTCAAATTCGGATTTGGATTCCAGAGCGTTTCAACTATTTGAACGGCGCGCTTGGGTTATTTTCGTTTATTAAAATCGCATAAAGTGCAGAAATATGTTAGGCCAGATCGTAAAAGCAGCCAGCAAATGGAAATTGTACGAGCTGTTGTGGGCGAATGGGCGTGTGTAGGGGCCGGACATCGGGGCGGAGCGAGTGGGCGGCTGCTGCCAACAAATTGTGGAGCATTTAATTGACGTCGACGTCAAACTTTGCGGCATGCGGCAGCACACAAAACACAAAGGTCGTAAATGTTATCGCAAAATGCGGCAGGCAAACCAATTTCCAAATGTGGAAACAAAAAAAACAAAACTAAAACTAAAAAAAAAAAAAACTATATTTAAACGAGAATATCTCAAAAATTTGTGCGGCCATAAAAACAGCAACGGAAATGCACGGAACGCATTTGAAGCTATGCATTTGGTGTTTGATTTACATTTTAACGAGCTGATTTTCACACCAAAGGCCCAAATCAAAATCCAAAATGCGCTCTAATGGGACAGCGCTAGTCAATGACTCAATTAGGTTGGGGCCAGGGGCGAACACTATTCCCAGAGTCATCTGGCAATAAATTACACAACCCGCAGTTGAGCAGCCAAACGGCCGCGTGGCAACACTTGAAAAACCCATCGCACCGATCGATTCTCAAACATCAATAAGCTGCGGTTAACGTAGTTTACGACTAGTCCGGGTGTATCTGTATCTTTAGCTGTGAGTTAAGTGGCCCTCAAACAAAAACAAACTGAGAGGCAGCTGGCTCTAGGGAGTTTTGGCTCTATGACACTTACCAGGTGGTCCAGGCGGTCCCGGCGGACCCTCGATGATGCCCGTTGGGAACTCGTCACCTTTGATGGTTGTGGTGAGGCCACGATCACCGCGATCGCCCTTGTCACCCTGTGAACGAAAAGCAAACGATTCAATGAGTCACAGGGCTGCATCTGTATTGATATCTGACTGTTGGAAAATTAAGTGGAAATACCAAGGCAAAAAGGTGACACACAGAGATGAGAGACATGCGAGGGGAAAAAGAGAGGGGCGCTTAATACATAAATAAACGATAAATAATGTGGAAAACCGAGAAAAAGACAATGGGAAAATCGGAAAAACAAAAGCAGACAGCACACGGACAATGCATATACCCAATCACACAAACAAACACACACACACACACACACACACACACACACACACGTACAGGCGGACGATGGCTCATTCGTAGTCACTTAAAACGTCACAGTGTTTATCCAACAGATACAAATAGTGCATTAATCCATGAGACATCTTTGTTTTACTTATGAATCGCTTTCAATCCCTATTGTAGCCGCCCTCTCTGTCTGTGTGTCCCTTTTGGTAATTCGGTTTTTGTTGTCTGTGAATCACTCACCTTTGTGCCAGGTGCGCCCGGCACGCCGGGCGGTCCAATCGGTCCTGCCTGGCCGGCCTCGCCCTGCACTCCCTGCGGTCCAGTTTCGCCAGGTGGTCCACGCTCGCCTGGTACGCCTGGATTGCCAGGTTCGCCTGGGGGTCCAGGCGGGCCGGGCTCGCCAGGTTCACCCTAGATTATTGAAAAACATGTTTATTAGCATCAAGATCCCACACATATTCCGCTTAAATGGAGAGGCACGTGCAGCAGACAAAGATGAAACCACATAGTAGGAGGCATGAAAGAAAAATACCAGGACCCGAAAACTTACCTTTAGCTGTATGACCGTTGAAGCGGATACGTTAACGCCCGCTTCTTGCAAGTCCTTACAACACACACATAAAGGATTTAACGAAAAATGTTCAAAAGTAAAACAAAATATAAATTGGTTAATGAAAATATAAAAAAAAAATAAATTTAATACAAATGTAAACATTAGCTGCTGCAAAGCAAATTTAGTTTCAAAAAGCTAATGGAAAAGGAATAATAAGTAAATTTTTACAATTACGCAAAAATAAAAGTTTACATTGAAAAAACTAACTACAAAATTTAATTCCAACAAAATAAACAAGGAATATTTTATGAAAAAAATTAAAGCGTAAAGCTAACCAATTAAGCATAACCCGTGTTAATAAGGACAAAAGCAAATAATTTTTATAAAGAATTAACGCCCTGTTTGTGTTTTTATTTGACTCAACTCAACAAAAACAAGTAAATATTGAAAATACATTTGCAAATATACGGACACTTTTTATAATAATTCAATGTATTTGTACAATGTTTCCATATTAATGGAATACTGTCAAAAGAAGTCCATGTATATTTATGGCTTTTATAATAAATTGATTTTGTTTAGGCTGCCAAATGCTGGAAAAAAGATTTTTACAAAACGGCATATTTCCGAATGAGCACGCAAATCACAAGCCGAACGAGTAGCTGAACGTGGCCAAGATAAATGTCTGTAAATTATTCAGGCTTAAATAAAATAAACAAGAAACTATATCAACTAACATGAAAGCAATGATAAAAATTCCATGTGAAATATTCGAAAGACATTTAAAATTGCACAAGTACACGCATTACGGAATGGGCGTCTGGTATGCTACCCAATGCAACAAAATGACTAAACAGTAGCATGGCCACGCAGAAGTAGCAACAAATTTATGGTGCTGTTTAAACCAAAGAGCTGAGCCAAGTTAAAAGCATTACGAACAACAATGAGCAGGATAGTAAACAAGTTCAAATATAAAATACAACAACAACGACAACTACAATAAAAACAACTACAAGTGCGTCTAGAACGAAGGACAGGACAAGTCCAGAGGACAACAAGTTGCAAATATTTGCAGCTCTCTGTCCAACTGCATTTTGCCTTGAGATATGGCCATGGTCATGTGCCACAGTAGCTACTGTGCGGGGCGAGGTTGGGAATTTGGTTTAGGTTTGGGGTTAGGGTTTTGGGGAGGGGGCTGTCATGTCTAGAGTACGGCAGCTGAAACGTATTTATGGCTGAAAAATACCTTAACAGCTACAATTTCCGCATAGCCCAGTGTGCCGCCATGCAGCGTTGTCACCGATCTCTTGAGGCCCTGGGAGAATGCAGATAAAGCAGAGCAGAGCGTTTGGTTAGAGATTTGCAAAAATTTTAGAATAACATTTTTGGATTTCAATTTTCCGATTTCGTATGCAGATTTGCAGCAGCCGATTTGAGCAGAACCGCGATTTACACTCACCTTGACTGTCTGGAAGACATCCACGCCCGGATGGCCGGTATCGCCCTTTTGGCCCTTGTCGCCGGGGTTACCAGCAGCACCCTTCTCGCCGCTGATGCCGTTGAGACCCTGAAAAAAAAAAACAAAAAAGTTGAGCACTTCTGCATAAAAGAACTACATCATCTTCTCCCCTGAATACTTACCGGTTCACCCTTGTCGCCGGGGTCGCCCTTCTTGCCGCGCTTCCCTCGCTTGCCGGGCGGACCGGGCGGACCTGGTGGACCTGCAATTGAAATGCAATTTCGCTGTCAGTGGAGAATTGGTAAAGTTTTGTTTTTATTATTTTATTTTTAAGTTAACTGCAAAGGGCAAAGTCTGACTTGTGTCTTAAGGTCAACCGATTCCGCCTCATTAGATACGCTCTGAACTTTGTATCTGACCGCAGCCTGCGTCCAGTGACACAGCGAATTCTGAGCCAGGCGCTACTTTTTCCAAGTTTGCTTCGTTTTTTTAAACCGTTTTTTGCGCATTTTGCCCGCAACTTTCGCAAATTCATTTAGCTGAAAAATGACTTTCGCTGCAGCAGGAAGGAAACAAAAGGGGCCAGAAGGGGGACAGAACAGAAACTGTGCACAAAATATTTATAACCACTTTGGCTGCTATTATTTCAGCGCTGTGGAAAACTTTATCTGCTGCCGCTGGTGCTGATGCAGCCAGGAGCAGCTAGAGCGCTGCGTCTCAAACAGGACAAAAACTCGACTCGATGCTTTTCAATTATTTCGCATGCAATTTTACGGCGCATAAAATTTCAGGCATCGTGCCTTGTAGCTAGTCTTGGCAATTATTCTTATTAGAACCGAGCTTTAAAACACTAGCTGCTGTTTCTGGTGCTGCTGTTGCTGTTGTTTTAGCTGAGTGTCCTTTGTTGTTGCCTGGAGACAGGAAATTAACACCTACATAAAGGCCAAGACAAGATGCTGGCAGCGAAATGAATGTCTGGTCGCGTCCCTGGGTTGCTCAAATGAAGTAGGTGTGAAAATATTTAATTAAAATAACAGCCAGCTACAAACATGATAACAAACGCAAAACAAAATATATATATATAAAGAAATGAGAAAAACAAAAGCAACAGGAAACACGCGCCGTTTTTACTTTATACTTTTCTTTTATTGTTGTTTTTTTTGGAGCTGGCGGAGAAAAAGCAGACCTTTCGGCTGCTATTTAATAATTGTTGTAATTAAGTAATTCCGTTTCTAGCTGTTCTCGAAAAAAAGGTGCAAGTGAATCTGAAGAAAAGTCCAGAGTCGGAGCTGCCGAGGAAGCTGCCTTTAATGCAGGAAACGCCAGCAAACAATTTAAATTCATTTCGCGCCAAAATGACGCCACAAACTACCAAAGTGAAAAAGGCCCGAACCGAACCGACCCGACCCAGCCCGGCCCAGCACGGCACGCGTCGCTGTCTGAATGTGGGCGTCTATATGTACGGGTGTGGGTGTGGCAGATTGTGTAGGTGCGATGTGAGCAGCCACAGGCAGACGTAGACCAGCCAGCATGACTCCACCGGAGCAACGCCCCTCAAAGGCAGGCAGCTCATTTAATTAAAAAAAGATTTCATTTGCCCCGTCACATTGGGCCAAGAACCGCGCAAACATAAGAAAGACCGGGCTTTACTTTACATACAAAGATCGGATACGCAAGAAAGAAGAAGGTGTCATTAAAAGAAATTACCAAAAGGTAAGGAATGATGTTGGCATTGCACTTGGTTTCCTCTAGTATCTGCCAGAGAAATTTCAAAGTGATCCACTTGTGTTACAGACAGAAACAGAAAATTGTTTCCTGAATTAGTTTTCTCTGAAGCTCTCCTATCACTAATTATGCAATCTAATTATAATGCAGAACTCTTTTAAATTAGTTAAGACAACTATGCACAGAAGATTTTGGCTAGAACTTTCGGCATAAATATAAGTTCTCGGCCATATTCTCCGTTGATATTTATAGGCTTGGTAAATAGTTTTGGAGTACAAGCCATATGTAATGTTGAAAGTTTTATTCTATAGGCCAAGTACATCACGAGTATCTACTCGCGGCCCACTGTGCAGTGCGGTGGCAAAGTAAAAATTATGCGCTTACTGTGCAGCACTTGCCAAGTAATAAAAGCTAACCAATTAAGCGTGGATAAGACGCAGGCACAGCTCGAAACAATGCACGGCCATTGCCTGGTTGCTTAGCCAGCGCTCGGAGGTACTTGAGGCAACTTTCGTAACTTGGCCAACTGGGGCATCAAGTGTCGTAAGCCAAAGCCAAGCGGAAGTACCGCAGTGCCAAAAGAGTCGACTTAACAATGCCATCGGAAGTGAGCGAAACAAAAGCAAATGGGGCAGCATTAGAAAAATGAGAGGGAAAAAAAAACAAGAAACAAGAAGAAGTTAAAATAGCGCTTAATCTAATAACAACATAATAATCATAATCATAATATCATTTGCCCTCACATGCGTTGCCATCTTTCCCAGTTGGATTGCCATTAACGCCGCATTTTTCGTATTTTCGTATTATTTTACCGTTGATGGCGGCGACGGTTGCCGCCATTTTGGCTAACAGTTTGTTGCCTGTTAATGGCGTTTGTTGTTGTTCTAGTTGTGCTTGTTGTTGTCGTTGTCTAATGCGCTAAGAAATCCCATTGACATGGCCAGAGACTGGGTAGAGATAGATGGTTCTCAGGCTGGGCAAAATAAGTGCGGATAAAGTTGTTAAGTCAAAACTTTTCTTGTTGTTTTTTTCCACTCGCTGACAGAACCGTCGCACTTGATTATGATCTTGATAATGATGATAATATATGAATGTAACACTCTTGTTGCTGATAATGATGATGGCAATTGAACGCTCTCAATGAGCGCATGATGCAAGTCGCACAGACTCACAACGACCATAAATCCATATCGAGATGCTGTCCTCAATCTTAAGCCCCACCCCCAACCCAGTCGAGTAAACTAAATTGGCATTTACTCCAAAGCCGTAGCCACTGCGGCAGTGTCAACCGTCCGTTCAACTGCTGCAGTAGCAGTTGCTCATCCCCTCGTTTAGCTGTAGGATGAGTGGTGTCTCCGGTTGGGGCTGCTTCTGGCAGAGCGGAAAAAAGGAATTATGTCAAGTTGTGCGCGTAATAAATACTCGGAATCGTTTACGTGCGTACAACACCACTATGACACGTACAACAAACAAGAGCTAAACAAGCCGACAAACATTCAGACGGCCGGATAGACAAAAAGCCAGACACTCAAACAGTTGGACGGAGACAGTCAGCCAGTTGAATGGAGGCAATTGACTCGCAACACGGCAACTGAGGTAGCTGCACAGCAAATGATCCACAGGAAACAGCAGGAATGGCTACTTTACAGCTAGATATAATATTAACCAACTTTGCCGCCACACTTGGGATTCAAGGACTCTGATGTAATTTAAAAACTTGCTTAAAATAGTTCCACTAGCTCATTAAGTATTTTCCCAAATATGCATCCCTCGAGATGCAAAGCCCATTGCCTTTACTCAGATAGTGCAATATGTGTATATTTTATGGCAAAAAATACATATATATATATGTAGCTATGTTCGTCTGTGTGTATATGTGTGTGTGTCAACAATTGAGTTTCATTCGTGCAATGCAGTCAAGCGTTAAATCAGAGGCAGCGTCTAGAGTTGATGATTGGTTTTTGGCTGGGTATCGGTTATCTTTGCGGATTGGCAGTCATGTTGTTTGTACTTTGCCAGCTTGATTGCTGTAGTTCAATAAGTGTGTGTATGCATGTGTGTGTGCGTGTGCGTAAATAACGCTGATCTTTTCTTGTGCGCCAAAAGTTTTCAGTCAGTGAAGCAAAACTTTGTTTTAGCAGGCGTCTGTCTAATGAGCTTAGACCCTTGGCTGTTCAGAATTTTCATTAGCCGCGCCCAGAAGTGGATTCCGTGTACACACATATTTATGTGTATGGGTGTGGATGTGTGTGTGTGTATCTGTGTGTGTGAGTGCATCTGTTTACTTAAGTTACTGCAGCAGCTGGCTGTGCATTTGCCTGCCATACGACATCCTTTCAAGGACGTCTGCGAGCTAAATAAATTCGCATAGCAAACACGGCTGGCAAACTTTTAACTTGTGCCGTGTCGTGCACGACATTTGTTGCCAGCGCATCCGTTTGAATCCTGCAACGTTCCAATTGCAGCAGAAATGAGAAAAGGCAACAAAACGACAAGCATATTCATATGCGCTGTTGAATTGTTCTACGCGCTGTCGATACAACTGAGAAAACTTTCTCGTTATGGCTTGCCTGGAGTTTCCATTCCCTAACATTTGGCTCCTGTGTAGCCAGCAAGGACACTTGATTTAATCTGGTAGTTGTAAGCTGTTGCTATTTTGTCTGCCAGTTGCCGCTGTGCGTCTTCAATAAATGCATTTGCGTATGTCAAAGATATACGAGACGCAACGACGACAACAAAAATGTGTATAATAAAGCATAGCAGCTGCTGCTGAAGTGTGTACGTGTGTGTGTGTTTCTCCTGGAACAGCAAAACTCCTTCAGTTCGCATCCATGTCCTTGTCCTTGTTATTTGCCCTTGTCGCGCTGTCCCTGCCTCTCTTACTCCCTTGATATACGATACTTTTGGTGCAAGAAACAATTCTTCTCGTTTTCTTGACTAAAGTCTGTCTTCTTTATCGCTAACGGTATTTTGTTTCGTCCTGTGTCTCAAGTCGTTTTCCTACAGTTTTACTGCCCGAACGATACCCACGCACACGCACACAAACACACAGATCAGCTACATATACGTATACGTAATGTAAATGTGGAGCCAGCTCTCTTGCTACCAGAAAATCTATGTTTATGCATATGTTAGCTGCTACAGTGAAACCTGCAACAGCTGGCTGAACAGGTTAAGGTTCGCTCCACACAGATTTATGAGAGCTCATTAAAAAAACCCGTTTTCGGCTCCAGTTAATACACAAGCGAAGCGGCGATAATACATTGACCATAAATCAGCTGGCTGGTATATGTGTCATGTCTATTGGATAATTAAAAGGACATCTCAACAGCTTTTAATTAATTTAATAGCCAAATTTCGGCTTACTATTGTTAAGTCTGCTGTGCAATAATAAATCTTACATATATGTTGCATGCATCCTTGTGGCAAGCAGTAGTTCGTTATAATAGCCTCCCTTTGCCAAGGATACAGCTGCACGCTTGTCTTATATGGACGAGTTATTCCACATGAATGGATTCAATGCTGACTTAATTGAGT